AGGAAAGATCAGTCCTTGGAGAAAAGCATCATGTTTGGTAACAACAACAACAACAGAAACTAAGGTGGGGTCTTAAAGGTGTTCCCAAGGAAACAAAGGGTGTGGCCACACTGTCCACGAAGGTCAAGCCTAAAAATTCCACCCCCTGCTGTCCCTCAGTATAGTAGAGAACGCGCTCCAAAAGGAGAGAGCCACCAGAGAAAGGACGCCAGGACCACAGCGTAGCAAACATATAAGGTAGAAGAGCTACATTCATTGACCACAACTCAACATGATACATGGAAAAAAGATTGAAGTTGTCAAGAATTTCATTTTACTTGGGCCAAAATCAGTAATCACGGAAACAGCAATAAAAAAAACCCCAAACAAAACAAAACGACATATTGCATTGGGCAAATCTGCTGCACAAGGTCTTGTTCAAGTGTTAAAAAGCAGAGAGATCACTTTGAGGACTAGACATGCTTGCCTCAAGCTACGGTACTCTCAATTGCTTCAGTGCATGTGAAAGCTCAGTCATGAATAAAACAGATCAGAGGCAAATTGGTGCGCTTGAATTACGGTGTTGGCACAGAAGACTGAAAGTACCACGACTGCCAGAAAAACAAAGACACTGTCTTGGAACGTATTCAGTCCGACTGTTCCTTAGAAGTGTTGATATCAAGATTTGTCTCCTGGACTTTGGGCACATTGTCAGGAGAGACCAGTCTCTTTAAAAAGGACAGCATTCTTGATCAAGTGAAGAGTCAGTAAAAGAAGACCTTCGAGGAGATGGATTGTTACCGTGGTAGCAACAACAGGTGTAAACAAACAATTGTGAGGGTAGCGCAGGTTGGGGCAGTGTTTGGTTCTGTTGTATGAGCTGACTCGACAGAATCTGGCAACAGCATTTGGAAGTCAAAGCAATAGTAATTCAATATTTAAGGTATTGACCTATTGAGGACATCCATTAAAAAACAATGAAATCCAGAACCATAGCATAACAAGCATATAAGGTAGAAGAGCTACATTCATTGACCATATCTCAATATGATAAATGGAAAAAAGATTGAAGTTGTCAAGAATTTCATTTTACTTGGACCAAAATCAGTAATCACGGAAACAGCAATAAAAAAACAAAACAACATATTGCATTGGGCAAATCTGCTGCACACGGTCTTGTTCAAGTGTCTAGCCCATCATTTTTGTGTGTGTGTGTCACACCCTGATGTCACGTTAAGAAATCACCTTGCTCCTATTCATAGTCCTTGTAGGTCGAATGGCATTAATTTGATCTGGCTTCCAACGCCAGGAGAGGGCATGAAATGTAGGCCTGGCCAATCAGATTCCAGCATCTCTTTGCCACAATTATGGTGCAGATGATCACACAAGGTGGGCGTCTGAGCTACACAGGGGCTTATTAGATATGTTTGCAGAATTTCTCCCCATCCCCACCCCAGTTATTGGGAAAGAGTAACCTCTTTCCATTTGGCGTGCAGGCTCAGAAAAGGCTGCTTGAGAGTGAC